TACTTGGAAATTAACATCGCGTAATAATATAATACAAGTATAATTCGTATATAAGGTAGTTGTCAGTTCTGTTGCTATGCTGTTCCGGACCGGTTTGGCGCTTGGGGTCTTATTGACGTTTTGCGACGCCCTATCGCGGCAAAAGAGAATCGTTGGCGGATATCCGTCGCTGTTACCGGAATCCGATGGGTTCAACGTCAGCCAACCGTCCCGCAAGTCCGAAAATAATGTGGTACTCGTGCAAGACGACTACCGATCGGCCACGGTCACCGGCGTCGAGGAACCCGAAGGMTATTACGCGTACAAAGGCATCAGGTACGCCGAACCACCGGTGGGAAGACTCAGGTTTCAGGTAAGGCGGAAACGGGTGGCGTGTCAAATTCTATTTCAGAATATTAGAAGACCTTTATTGATAGGCAGTAACCAGTAAGCACCTATAATGTTATGTCATATTTAGGCAGACTTGGCGGTAACCCAAGGGACATTATAGCCTTCCTCCCCTCTGCCAACTATGTAAATTAGTCCTTGCAATCGTAAATTTTAAGTTCATTATTTATTCAATTTTTTTAAGCATAAAAGCATTAGCATATGGCAATGTCCGAATGTCCCMTTATACCAAGATAACAAAAACAACAAACTAAATATCAATAACCTAACTGGYGGTTAAGTATGAGTCCTCGTACATAAATAAATAGGTTATCAACTATTCGAGAATTGTTTGAGACAAAAACTAACTCATAAATCTGACTTTAGTTCAGGTACGCATTTGAGCGGGGCGGTGGGGGCAATCGCACCCTCCCTCCATCAATCCTGTATAATGGTCTATTTTGAYAACAGCAAGACATAAATTTCCAGCATACAAATAATTTAATAAATTATAATAATAAACCTACAATCGATTTTTTTTTATACGAGAGCATACCGGCACTTTTAATAAAAATGTATAATGAAGGATTTTAACTATTCCTAAAAAAATATCCCTCCCCCCCCCAAGATAAGGCCCTAGATACGTGCCTGCTTTAGTCGCAGTTTCTAATATGGGTACTATATACTTACCAACCTTTAATTAGGGGTCTTAATGTAGGTACTGGAGACTTTTCTATAGGCTTAAATTAGGAATATAATAGACCCTTCCAGAATGGGTATACCTACTGCAGAGCATTTTTTATTTTTTTTTGTAGGAAATGCCTAAATGGGCTCTGTATTTTTTGTATCTGGCCAAAATTTTTATATTAACGCCACTATGCTATAATAGTCGGTAAGTCAAGTGTCTATATAACTTGGTACATTTCAATGAGTAGTAACATCCATATAATATAGGTACCAATCTATTAAAATTTTAAATTACCAAGTATTTAATTTTTATATACTAAATAACTACGCTCAAAATTTAATTTATTGTGTTATTCTTGTTTAACATTGTGTGAGTTAATTTTTCAGTAGTTAAGAGTGAATGAAACTAAATATGAAAATACGTAGGTCGTAGGTATAATGAGCAAGATGAATCATGAAAATTGCTTAGGAAACCTGGACAAAATATAGTCCGYGRATTCCGTACCCACTGCCTTATAGCTTATAAAGGCCAAAGCGTACTATTATCCATAAATACCTAGAGTAGTTATTATAATATTTTTTCAATTTTATTAATTAAAWATTTACTTTCTCTTACTCTAATAATTAATATACTATAAAATATCTAATTTGGTTCATATTGTGAAGTATATTTAGAGTTTACTGCTTGAATAATCTGATATAATATTATTTGAACTATTAAAGCCTTTAAGCTTTAGTCATAAAATGCAAAAATATCAAGAACCTATCAATAGCTAGTGGTTATGCTATAGTTTACATTTTTAGTTTGTAAATATTAAACTTACTGTACTAATTAATGAAGAAAACATAAGTAGAATTACCTGTGTTATGAACATTTCCACAACATTAAACAATTATTTATTTTATTTTTAGCGTCCATCTCTTGTTCGTCTTTCTGGAGAAGTTGATGCCACTAAATTTGGATCTCCTTGCCCACAATTGAGCTCTGATGGCACTGGACTAGTTGGAAGCGAAGATTGTTTATTTCTCAATGTTTTTACTCCGTTGGTAAGGAGTATTCACAGGAATTATTGTATATCTGTTAATTTTCATTTTGTTAAAAATGTAATTACAGAAAAAACTCAATAACTCAAATATTCCAGTATTGATTTGGATACACGGAGGAGGTTTCTTTAGTGGTTCGGCTCTACAATATGGACCTGCCCATTTAGTGAAAAATAATATTATTGTAGTTACAATACAGTATAGACTTGGATCATTAGGTAAACRTTATAGTTTATTCATATAAAAACAGTTTAAATAGACTAAAAACTATGCAATTGTTGCGTTATACAATTTAGGTTGGCTTACAAGTAATGTTAAAAATCTTCCTGGAAATGTCGGATTGTTTGACATGCGTGCTGCTATTAAATGGGTTAATGAATAYATTAATTATTTTAATGGAGATCCAGAACGAATAGTTGTGTCTGGTCAAGGTAGTGGAGCTAGTGCGGCAACATTACTGACAATGTCAGATTTTACAAAAGGTACTTATTAAAATAAATTGTAAAATAAAATATTAGCTAATAATATATATGATTAAAAAAAAATTGTTCAACAGGAATGATAAGTGGAATTTTTGCAATGAGTGGAAGCCCACTCTCTGCATTTGCAGTAGATCCTGTACCAAAGCAAACATATAAAAATATGACTACATTACTAGGATGTGATCAATCTGTACCATTAGAAGCAATTAGATGTTTACAAATGTTATCAATTCAAACTATTATTAACTCCGATTATAAATATCAAGTAAGTAAATATATTTTCTTATTTTAAAAATGTACATTTATTCTTTACCTACTGCTTAGAATACAAAATTAGGAAAAGAAGGATACTTAACTGGATTGGGTAGCTTGTTAAATGTCGGTCCTGCTGTGGAAGGTAACAATGATGGCCGTTTTTTACCATTTTTCATCATAGATTCACCACTTCGTTTGTTGAAGAAACACAAATTGCCCATAATACCAATGCTTACTGGTGTTAATAAGTTAGAAACTAAATCAGGAATTTTGGGTAAGCATTAAAATATAATGTATTTTTTAAATCTCGATATTACATAGTCATTTTTTTTTTAATGAAAAACATTACTAATTACAATTTTAATACTACATTGTAAAATCAGTATAATTTATTAAGTTTATTGTTAGGAAAATACAGAAATCAAGTATTAGACAATTTGAATAAAATACCAGAGTATGTTAATAAAGTACTGCCACAGAAAGTGCTTAATACTAACACAGGTAAATCAATAAAACATTTGTTTATTAAAAAATCAACATAATATTATGATTCACATAAACGAAGAGTTTATAGAATAAAATAAAATTAATCAAGTTATTTTTATGTTGGTATAAGATCTTAAAATATTAATTAATATTTTACTAATATATATTATTGTTATTTGTAAGAATAAATTATTGAAAAAATATAATTTAAATTACAACTAAATTTATTCATATGGATTTTTAAGTTTTATTTTTAAAAGAATCAATGTTTAAAATATTGAAAACAGTTTTTAACTGTGAAATTGCTTCCAAATATAAAAGGTTTTAATGCATGCGGATTAAGTATAAAATAAAATTTTATCCATGAGGAAAAATAAAATAAAACAAATGTCTGCTTATATTAGATTTTCATTTTACTTAGGATTATAGTTTATATATTACGCGAAATTGCAGGTTTATTCAAAAACGGAAGTGTAAACAATGCTCTAAAGAACTTATTTGAGAATATGGATTACTTAAAACTATTCTCGTCAAGAATTGAAACTGGGGTTAAAGAGATTACTAAAGTTATGCAGGTAAGAATAATATAACATTCAAAATATTTATCTATTTATACTAAAATAAGCTTTTTAGGGAACAACAGATGCATTATTCAACTTGCCTGCATTTTTTACATCACATTTATGGTCAAAACGTAGCAGTGCATACTTTTATAGTTTTGAGCATAAACCCAGTATTAAATCTCCAGGGAAATGGTTTTTGCCAAACATATTGGGAAATCCCAATAAAGAAGTACCTCAAGGATCAAATACTCAACATGTTGAAGATAATGGTATAGTATAATTATTTCAAAAGGGATATAATTTTTTTAAATKTTTATGGATGAATAAATAGGAGAGCCAGGCCATGGGGATGAATTGATATATTTGTATGATGTGAGGTCCATTGAAGGAAAACAGATTTCAGGAACTGAACTAAAAGATAAAAAAGATATTGAAATGAGAGATAATTTTACATCATTAGTAGCAGAATTTGTGAAAAATGGGTAAGTATTAAACTTAATACTGTAATTAKGTACATATTACATAACATAATAATTGATTAAAATTTCAGAAAACCAAAATTAAAAAAATTAGGTGACGAATGGCCTTCATTCACTTCTTCAAAACAATCAGATTATGTTGTACTTGATGAGAATTCACGTATTGAAAATAAGTTCCGTTTTTGTGAAATGGGATTATGGGGTGGTGTGCCAGACATATTACAATCAACATACTGCAACTTACCAGGAATATCTGATATACTGAAAACAGTCCCAGATTTATTACAAAATGGTGTATTAGGCGATGTAACAGAAGGGACGGTTAATTTACTATCTTTAAACACAATTGATGGAATACTAAAAAATGGTAATAATGGATTATTAGGCACATTAGGAGTAAAAAAACCAGATGCCACAACCAAAACACCTAATTCAAATACACAACAAAAGCCGCAAAATTATTTATTAAATGGCTTACTTGGATAGAACACTGAACTTTTATATTATGTATTCTATACTAAATTAAGACATAACAGTAATCAATAGTGAAAATATATATTTAGATTTTAGTAATGTCAATTTAATAATAACAATAATACAATTTTAAAAATAATAAATTATATAATATAATAAAATACTTATTTTTTGTTCTTTTTTAAGTCCTCAAATCTATTTAATAATTCATCAAAATCAGTTTCTTCATCATCATCTTTATTTTTAACATCACCAGTAGGTATATCTGTTGGTACGCTTGGAAGGTCAGGTAAGTTTGAAAAACCCATGTTTTTATTAGAAAAAATAGGATTTTTTGGAACAGGTTTAACTATATTAGCTGCYGGTGGTTTTTGAATTGGCTGCTGTTGTGGTGGTGGTATAGAAGGTGTGGGTACTGTAGGTAATGAGGGCGGTATTTCAAAATCCAATGGAACTGAATCTAACATTGAACTCATAGTTTGCATATTCTAAAATTTATAAAAAAAAAAGTCAGATATGAATTTTATTTACAAATTATTACACTTACCGGATAACTAATAGGCGGGGCTTGAATAGGTGCCATGGGCTGTGATGGAAAACCAATAAACCCTGTAGGTCGTGTGGCATTTTCATTAGTTAAATTTTTACCATCAAAAAGTATAGAATCTATACTATGAGATTGTTCATATTCTTGCATGACCTAAAAACAAAAATTTAAACATTCAAGTAAATCAAAAATGGTATATTATACAATTTGAAAATTAATCAAGAAAATCCCAATTTAAATCCCGAGCATTTATTATAATTATTTTTAATACTGATATGATTGAAATTTACAATAAACATTAAGAAATCATCACAGTACCGACTAATAATTATCAGTCTTACTTGTAGGTCAGGTTCATAGGGCACATTGTAATTTTTGGAAATTTCAATTAAATATTTTTCCACTAGTATCTTCGGCGGTGGTCTTAGACTCAACTTATGCTTGAGTTTTTCAGATACAGTATCCATGTTTTCTGATCTGCATGCCTAAAAAATAATAAAATATAAACAAGATCATTAATTATTAATATGAACAAATTGTATGATATAATAGTTAATAGTTTGTTATTATCTACTCACTGATATTTAATTAAGTATAATAGGTAAAATATAATTATATAAAAATTAACTGAATCTCATATGTTTATTCTTTTGTCAATAATAAAATTATAAGAATTACATTTTTCATAAATATAATKTATAATTCTTTATCAACTAAAAATTATTATTTAATTTGAAAAAGAAAAATAGAATAACAGATAAATAATCATTATTAATTATTATAAATATACATAATTTATGTTTGCTCATAATCTGAAAATATAATACATGACATGAAAGAAACAATGTACGTATAATGGGTACATTTAAATATTTCCTCAATTTAAACCAATATAAGAGTTTACATAGACAAAAATAGAATGAACCTAGAGATTACTTTACTGGTAGAAAATTAAACTTCTCTAATTAACAGATTGGTATATTAAATTAATTTTGATTGTGTCCTGTGATTTTGCACAAATTTGTTTCACTTTTTGTTTTGGAAACAAGTGTTCATAATAATATGCAACAAATAAAGAAGAAAAATATTGTAAGGATAATTTAGTAAAGGTTTAGATAGATTCTTAATAATTAAAATATATACTAATGTTATAAAGCTTAAGTTAAAAAATTTGAAAGCGCAAAAGATTTTGATAATTTCAGGATTTTCTAGTTCGAATCTAAAAATTATTTTTTATTGGATTTTCCAAATATTCAAATTATTAATATTAATCAAAGAATGCTATAGGCTACACAACACTTTTAGAGAGTTTATAAGAAATTTATGAATTTGCTATTTAAAGCCATAAAATTATTGTCACGTATCGAAAATTCTATGACACAGTGGCAGGCACTTCAATTTTTTTTTTTTTTTTTATTTATAAAGTTTTCCTGACAATTGGTCATCTAAACTTAAGGCTAAAAGAATATAATATTTTGAYGTTTTGAAAAAGGTTAACATAAAATATTTACAGAATAGTAATAATTGATAATATAGAAATTAAACAACGTTTGATAAACTTAGAACTAATTATATTATTATATACAGAATAGGTATGTACAGGCACTTCAGTAGGATTAATGTACCAGTTTTGATGACCCAATTTTTGCACTGTTTTCACATAATTTTTTCTTCTTTATTACTTTAATAATTAGTTTTAGTTGGTCTAGAATTGGTCGCGTCTCTGGGAAAGTATTAATTGTAATAGTTCACTGGGTCGGCTTTAAATAATTTAATAATATTTGATCCGTTAAAAACTATGTTCCGGCTAAGAATATTCCGTGCGAAATTAATTTTGGTGTGGGTATATACACATACCTACAATATAACAAATATAAAWATTTTTTTGTTTATTATAGGATTGCTATTGGTTATACAATTTAGTATGAATGAATAAGATAWTAGCAATTTATTATTTTTTTATAGGTACCAATATAAAAAAATTTTTCATCTTTACAAAGCTAAAAATTTGAGAAAATATTATGATTGAATATAATTTAAGTTGTGTAAGATAGGGTATATATATATATATATATGACTAGCCAAGTATTAAACCACAATTAAACACAAATTTTGAATCATATGGAGTTGGTATTTTTAACGGGCAACAAAATACACGGGGATCAGCTAGTTTATAATTATTTACTGTGTCAACATAGTCTATACTTCTATAGTATAAAATGATCTTAATATATTATTTAAAAAGATAATCAATTTAATTTTGTGATTACATAAATTAATTTTATACCAAATGTGTTTAAAAAAATTAGAATGTTATTATTCTGGATTGATACTAATTAGAGGGGGTTGGGTCCGGCTCACCATGTCACTTTTTTGATAAAAAATGTTTAATGCGCAACCCCTCTTAAAGTAATAGACAATTTGCACTCAAGGTAATCTATACAATATTATAACAATCTATATCTATAAAATATGTTTAAAATTATATGAAAAATGACATTAATTTTTTTTGTATTTAATAAAAAGTTAAAAATTAAAATGCATCAATACCACCAAAAAATTAATATTTGATTTAAATTAAAAATAAACATATTAAATATAATACTATATAAGATTATTTATCTTGCTTAAAATAAATAATATTTTGTTTTGGTTTATTTTTTTATGAACTCAACTGAAAAAAATAGAGTAAGTTAAATTAGGTAATTGGCTAGTAAATATTAAACTTTAAATGTTTTCTTACCATTAAATATATTATATTGAAGAATTCAAGTATGTGCATAATATTTTCATTTGAACGAGCAGGTTTAAGTACAATGTACAATTATTAGTTCTGAATTTAAATTTTAAAAAAAATTCACCAAAATTGATAAAAATAAGACCTTTCAACAAAAAAATATTGAAAAAACTATTGAACTCTGCGTAACAAAAATAGAATTTCTATTAAGCAAACCTCGAATGTAGGAATAAGAAAAAAAAATGCATCATGTTCTGGACACTATTCAACACATAGTAAATACCCTTAATATACTAATAACAATAATAACTAATAAGTTACCATGTTATAATACATGATACAAGAWTCATAGTATTAAACATATAATAAAGTAATATAATAAAATTGATGATTAATATACAGGTACTATATTTACCTCAGTATATTTTTTACCAAATTTTTGAGTTAATTGGTCAGATATCACTTTCATTTCACTGACATCAGCTTGAATATGAGGAGCCACCCATAACAAACTGGAAACTGATTCTTGAAGAGAAGAATCTAAAACTCTGAAAGTTAAAAATTAAAATTATTAATTAAATTAATAATACAATCTTAAAAAAATTAAAGGCTAAATCACCTAATTAGCCTAGATAGGCTACATAAGACGATAAATAAATGATTCTAACAAGACTTTAATTTCACATTCAATAATGATTAATAATAATGTCAAATGAGCACCTACWTAACTCATCGACTTTAAGTTCGCAATATGAATGGAAAGAAAATATTGATCACTTTAAATGCTACAGAACCTCTGATATATGTTTAAGTAAAATAATAATTTGATTGTAGTATCAACCCAGTGTTGGCAAGACACACTAAAAGCCTATTGATCAGTTTTTTTTTTTTAAATTGTGTCTAAAAATTACTAGTTAAGTATTTCGTGGAGTCTCTACTCCCATTAAAGACAATAAAAATGTACGGGAACCTATGTTTGAAGCCCAACAGCCATAGCCATGCTAATATCGGGCATACCAAAAGCTCCTAGCATGAAAAATTAAAAAATGGTTTCATTTAAAAATCCAAGTACACAAGCTTTCAAAGATAAAAATGTGCCCAATAGATTAATTAATTTACTTTGATTGTTGTAAAAGACCAAATCTGGATAACAGAGCGTCACAAAACATCTCGACAATTTCCAATGCTTCAACAAAGTAGTCTTCTCGTATGATGTGTTCGACTCTTATTTTGGCACGTTCACTCTTCCCTGCTGCTACCATATCTGCAATTTCTTTACGCGCTTTTTGAGCTAGTTCAGTTTTCTTTTTTTCCAACAACTTTAGGCGATTTAATGCCAATCTTAAGTTGGTCTTGAGTTTCGAATAATTGGCGTCGGAAGAAAACATTTTTGTTTGTCTAACGGCAATAAATTATAACAAAATCGTACGAAACAATAATAAATAATRAACAGGTGGTTCAATACTCTAATTTCTGAAAATATTCCTGCTTGTCATGAATCATTATTACTCAGTACTCACAATGATGAATGAATTCACAACAATCACAATTCTAGTCGGAGACGTCGGAGTACAAACTAAGAGCCACGGGCGTTATAGGTAGAGATATAAACTAGTGAGTCATAAAAAAAAACAATAATCACGGCCATGAACATAATATTAAAATAGCCTAGAAACATAAAAATTATAGAATAGATGTTTGAACCATACGGCATACATAAAGATTATAGTGGTTAGGCGAATACGGAATAGATATTAGATAAGAAACGAAACTTCTTCACAGGAAATCCTGAGCGCTAGTAGTCTGTTAGCTCATTTTAGGTTAAAAAGTTTGAGCTAGGTATGCCATATTAATTTTGAATTTTTCTATTCGTTTTTCGTAGATAATATTTTTTATTAGGTAACTAAGTAACTTACTACTTAGTACTATTCGAACAAAGTAACATACAAAGCACTAGCATATACTCATTAACGATAAACCAGRCAAAAGTCTGTTTACCTGTTTAAGTATTACCTTTATTTGTAGCTTCAAAAAATTAAAATTTCTACTGCTTTATAGTATGAAGCAGTTTRCAGTATATCTATATTTGAGTTATTTGCGAGTCTTCATCTTAGATAGTACAAAACAAAACGTGCTTACATTTATTTAGGACGTATGGTACCATATTATGGTCTGGTCATCATAATCAATAATCATAAACTTCATACTCATGGGCCCTGGTTGAAATATACATATTAATATATTATTATTGTTCTGTGATTTATGTATGATTATATTGTACATTTCAACCATGCAAAAATTATAAGTGAAAAAATGGCTATCAATGACGGTCTAAAAAAAATTGTAACAAGACAAAATAATGTTATGGATGGAATTTTGGACAATGGAAATTTCTATAATAATATAAAATTTAAATATACTTTATCCATTATATTTAATTTAATAAGGATGCAGGCATGCAGCTGCGTCTGCTAATGATGAATACCGCTAGGCGCTAGGTGATAAGAGCCGCTTGTGAGTTATCAAAGGCATTCGAGCATACTGGATTACTGATACTAATTCGACCGCATCGTAAATTTTACAACAAATTAGTAATATTACTATCTTATTCTTGTGACTTGTAGTCCAAAAACTTAAACGTGCACTACGTAATCCAAATTCCTCTAACTTTTGATCAAATCTATACCTATACTTAAGTATTCGTTTCGCGAGCAATAATAAAAAATGAAAGGTTTTTTGGCACTGAGGAGGATTCAACATCGGCTGTACACAGATTTCGACGCCTTTTGCCACATGATACTCGGACGTACACCTCCACCTGGTAAGTATATTTTTTTTCTAAACCTCTCACTAATAATTATTATTGGTTGAGTTCTCGTCCCATCATGTTACAAATATTATTAATCTTATTTTGGTCCATCGTTTTCAGATCTTTCTTTTGTAAATCATGTGGAAACGCTCAAAYCGTCTACCCCAGCTCTTATGAATGTTCAACGGCTATTTGRCGACTCCATTCTTTGGGCTGTGCCAAAACATAGGCGTACAATTGAGAAAAGACTAAAACGCAAGTTTGGTTGTATTRATGATTTTTACAAAATGCTACTACCTCGCACAGATTTACTCACATGTAACCAATGCGGTCATAATTATCAGAGACGTCATTTGTGTCGTGAGTGATGATATGCCACAGCTTATTTAGCTTAATAATATTATCATATACATTTTTTTATTTTTAGCAAATTGTTACAAGAGGGTTAAGGATGAAACTACACAGTTTCAGGAAGTCATTGAAAAAGAATTGGGCTTAGAACCTATTGAGCAGGATGTAGTGGTTCTTTATAAAGGAGAGAAAACCAAAAAACCAGTAGAAGAAGTTTGGAAAGTAAGACTATTTACCTAGAAAATGTTGTTAAATTATTAAYATACTATTTTATTGTAGGGTAAAAGAATCATYGAACTTAAACGGGAAAAACCGTCATGGTTCTGTAGAAACTTATTACAAAGGACTACTGTTGGCAACTCTGATTCAAAAGATGTACAGCCATCAGAATTAGCTTAAGCTAGTTTTTCTTTTTAGTATAAAATTTGTACCAATCTTATTAATATCCATCACCTTGATTAATAATTTAATTAAATCAAGTAGATATATTACATTTATAAATATTAACAAAATAAAAAATATTTCTATAAAAATAATGATTCTTGACTGCYACAAATGCTTTTAATAGTGTCCAGATAAACTATCAATTATAGTTTCAGGTTCTTCATCTGGGAAATGACTGCTTACATGCTCAACTAATTTATCAAACATTTTATCGCCTTCAGATCCCACAATGTATAATTTACATAAAGGGCATATACTATGGTTATCTGGTTTTGCACGGACCCCACAAATACAAGCTGTGGTGGAATCAAAAGCAGTATTAGTTAATGTTTCTGCATCTCGATACTCTGCAGAAGGTTTTATAACTTTGACTTCTGTAAATGAAGAAAAACATGATAAATTTATTAATTTGTATTGGATTCAAATAAATATAAAATAATGAGACTTACCCTCAACAAGTAGATTAAATCTTGAAGTGATATTGAAAATTAAATCATTTTGATCGGCAAGTAAATGTTTAGCTAAGGTTAATTTTTCTTTGTATGCATTGAGTTCAGACAATAACATAGGCCAAGATTCATCATCTGAACTATACTGAAGACTTATTAGATCATCAGCCGTATCCTAATAAATATAAAAATTATTGGTTATATTATCTATTATATTAAATATACTTATAATGGTATAAAATAATAATAATATAGTATAATGTATTAGCAAAAATGTTAGTAGATAATATATAATGCACATTGTGAAAAACAATGTTAGTATACACAGAGGTTCAATTTAAC